ACTCTGCCATAAGAAAGCTCTCCAACAACCTGCCTGGCGTGTGAGTGGGGTGGGCAGAAGGGCAGGTTTGCTGGAAGAAGCTGGATAAGCAAGCGGAAAGGCTCTCAAGTCAGAGGGAACCAAACGCACAGAGTGAAGCCCTATAAAAAGCTCCAGAAAGTTCACCTCAGCTGCATCTCCCTGGGCAGCAAGACACAAATGGCTGATGTAACAGGGCTACATAAAAACATGCCGCCCCCAGGCCCCTGGACCTCGCGCTGTGTCAAGCGCAGCTGAAGTCTGTGCTGCGCGGCCGTGCTCCTGTGGGCAGGACCAGCTTCAACCACCTGGATCTGGCAGTGCTGTGCACTCTCTGGAGGTCCACTCAGGACTCGCTTGCTTGTAGCAAGAAAGGCTGCTTCTACTACAAACAGTCTCCTTGTTTTTTTAACAGTTATCAGTGAAAGTAAGGGATCCTGATTTGGTCTCTCCCCTGGCCCCCGAGGCAGGCAGGCAGGCAGGCAGGCAGGACAACGAAGCATGCAGAGGGGTCACCTGCTGGCCGCCACGTGCCCGGGAGGGAGGTGGAGTAGGGGAAGGAGAGAGTGTGATCACTTTTTTGGGGCAGGTCCGAGGATGCTCCTTTTCCCGCCGCTTTTACACCAACAGACATAAACAGAGAGAATACTGGTGAAGGGTGGCTGGCCACACTGAGGCTGGTTCTGGAAGGACCAAAAGCACTTGCCAAGAGCATTCCGGAGGCCCTTTCCCACCCTCCACGTTCAGGGAGGTGGCCCATCCCAGGCTGTTGCTGGCCTGGGGTCAGACACACAGTCTGCAGATCAGCGTCAGCTCTGCACCAGCCTGGAGTCTGGACCTGCAGTAACTGCCAGGGACCAAGGGCACAGCCCTCCTCGTTGGTTTTGTCAGGGAAGCTGGGGTCAGAAGACATGGGCTTAGTCACAAGCAGAGAGAAAAGAGGACAGACCACCCCTGGCAAAGGGACATGGAGACGGCCTCCCCACATCAGGCACCCCACGTCCCACCTCCAACAACACCCTGCACCGTGCCCTCCTCTCAGTCCCTCACTCACAGTTAAAAGGCTCTGGGAAACTACCGAGGAAATGCAAGAACAGGAAACAGGATGTGAACATTGAACCTCTTACACTAACTGACACGGCACAATAGCCGTGGTCACTTCCCCACTTACCCTTCCCCATGGCGTCCCCTTCATGTGAGTCTGTCTCTGATGGACAGAACCCCTCAGTATGTAAAAATCACCAGAGTCCCAGGTCGGAGGAGTCCTCAACTTCCTCACTCCCAGAACCACCATGTAGGCAGCACACAGCATAGCCAGGGAGGGAGAGGCCAGGGAAACCGCTCCTCCGTCTGTCCTGACCTCACTGACAGTCCACTGCCAAAACAAGGCTGCTTCACTGCAGACTGCCTGCAGGACGCATTTCTGAGATCAAAGGGGGAGGGGTGGGGAGGGAAGGGCTGCGGGGACTTCACGGGAAGGTGACAAGGAGGGTCCTGGAGCAGAGCCGTTACTCACCCCTCCCTCTTCCGCACCACCACTTTGGGTCACTGCTGCAGCGCCACCCCTACTGCCCGCCTCAATCGGAGCCACTTCCAGGAAAACAAGGAGGGAGTCGTGGAAGGTGTGCCGGCCCACCCCACCCCCACAACAAAGGGGCGGAAGGGCCGGCCCCAGGGTGCACCCCGGAGCTCCTGTGTGTCCCTACACTTCCAGGGCATCTGGCTCGGCCCCCAGTGTTCTGTCCTCCCTGGCTTGGTGCTGGGAATAAATTATCCATGAATACAAAGTCAGGACTGGCACACTTCTCTCACAGCCGAGTCCACGTATAACTCCAGCTCCACACAACATGAAGCCCACAGGACGCAAGAGGCCCTGCGCTGCTCCTGGCTTCTCACCTACCCACCCGGATGGTCCCTCCAACTGCCGTCTCCGGGGCCCCTTCCACAGACCAGCCTTGACCTGAAGGGCCTGTTCTGCTGCCTGGGGAGCCTGGCAGCACAGACTCCACTCCACTGACATGGTCACGGGTTGCCCAGTACGTCCATGTGGCATCCGCACAGGCTGGAGGCTACCAGCAGCTGCAGCGACAGGAAGAGCACAGCCCCGGATGCCCCTTCTGCCCCGCGCACCTGGCTGAGGAGCCCATCCTCGGGGCCGCCTCCCCAACAGTGGGAGAACCGAGAGTCTGGGGACCCTGCCAGAGCGCACCTTCCCCTTCAGCCGGCCCTCAGCTAAAGGTTAACTCTTAAGTCATACCTTCCACCGAGACTTCGAAGGTCTACTCTAGGCGAAGGGTAAGTAAATAAGACAGAAGTGAATTTCCAGTGAGTTTTTTCCAGAAGCCCTCCCCTCCCCTAAGCACTGGGAAGAAGCAGCCTGGCTTTGTGCTGAGTCTGGACATTGTTCCTGGGCGTCCATCTCAGCCTCACAGGCCCTGCCTTCAACGAGGCACATTATTAAAAGAAAGACTAGAAAGAAACTCTGCCCTAAATACAGTTCAAATAAAACCTAACCTGTTACTCCCCAGCACCTCCCAGCAGCAGCTGTCACCCCACAGCACAGGCGGGATCACGGGTCAGCTTATCTGACCGCTAAGAACCTCAGTCCTCAATGATCCCAAACCACAACCAGGGCAGAGGCCTCCCACTCCCTACCAGGCATCCTTTACCCTCCAGGCCCTTCGTCCCCTTTCTCCCTGCCCTGCCCTGCCCTGCCCTGCCCTGCGCTGCTTAGAAGCAGCAGCCTTGTAGGAGATCCTGCAAAAACTTTAGTGAGAATTTCCAAAAAGAGTATTTCAGATAGACAAAACACCAAGAAGAAGCCCATGATCATCTTTGTCCAGGGCTTGAAACAAATAAAAAACCCAAAAATGAGGCTATTTTTTGGATAACATTTCCGTATTTAACACAAAAGGCCCACTGCGCTGAGTCTCAGGCTGGACGAATTCAGGCTTCCCCTCCAGTGGTCAGGAGAACATGCCAGCAAAACGTCAACTTGGGACGAAGGTTGTAACAACAAAACCCCAAAGACTAAGGTACCTGAATAACTTACCATGTAGCTTCAGCTAGTTTCAGCACTAAATTAACAGCCCACCCTTAAAACTGGCTTCCCAAATCCCAGGGAATTAAACAGGTCAGTATCATCTGTTAAACTTTCCCCTAGACTTGCCACTCAAGTGAGCACAGAGACCCCTCCAGGGAGCGAGGGCTTGGCAGCTCAGGCCCCCATCGGCCGGCTCCAGGGAGGGGTGGGTGGGAGGCCAGGAGGCAGCACCGTTCTGGTCCCTGGGCAGTTCCTTTACCTGTTTCCACCGGGGGGTGGGAGCAGAGCAACCCTGCTCGGGCAGGAAGCAGGACGGCTGGCTGACCCCACGCTCTTGTGTCTGCTGTGACACACAGGCCACGAATGAGCAGGGGACAGGACATGGAGACAAAAAAAATAAAACACATTAAGCAGCAGACACAACAGTGGTCCTCAGGGAGGACAGACACACATCTGTGAACTGAAGTGGGGAGCACAGAATTAATTCATAGGAAGTTACACTTACAGAGGGAACAAAACGCTCAACCCGTCTCCAAGCTCAGGAAAAGCAGACCAGAAGCTGTGGTTCTGACTAACCGTTTCCCTAGCTCCGTGCTCTGAGCCTCAACTACTGACTCTGGCTTGGAACGCGAATCTCTCCACTCGAAATGAGGAAAGCAACCTTCCGCTGGGGCCAGACTCCCTCCAATGGGGAGCATTCCGTTCCCCAACATGGGATGGAACCTGGGCTGCCAGAGCCACCTGGCAGCCTCGCAAGTTTGCAGCCACGTCAGCACCAGCACCTGGAGCGTGAAATCTAACCCAGGACTAGGTATGCAAAGACGTGGAGAGGGGGTGAGCACAGGCTCCCTTGCCTCCAGACACCAGCTCAGCTCCAGTTTTGTGGGAAGCCCTCAGTGTGGACTTCAAAATCCGAGCACCTCCCCGTGAAAGGAGGCCTCGTGACTTAGACAAGCAAGAGGAGAGACAAGACCTCACAGATGTCGCCACCCAGCTCTCTCAGGCAGGACCCCTGGGAACGCAAGTCAGCGTCCATGGACAATCTTTAAAACGTTCACATTCCTTATATGTGTACGGATAACTGAATCACTGTGCTGTACGTCAGAAACTAACACAACACTGAAAATCAACTATATCTCAATTTTAAAAAGTTCATGTTCTCGACCTAGTTCAAGGACAGTCTAGGAAAACCATCTGCAACACACGAAAGAAGCTTTATCATGAGAATGTTCACCTCTGTACTCGTCACAAAAGACGAGAAACAACTTACACACCCAGCACTGGAGAACAGATTAAGAAAGGCATGGCACACACATTCTGGAAGAGGCTGATGAACAGTTTGGAACATGGAGATATGCCCAAAGTTACAGGAAGAAAGCAGAACAGAAAAGTCTGTATTAAGAATGCCCTCAAGTGGGGGGGGGGGGGCGGGTAGCTCAGTGGTACAGCACATGCTTAGTAGGCACGAGGTCACGGGTTCCAATCCCAGTACCTCCATTAAAAAAAAAAAATAATAATAATAAATAAACCTATTAACACCCCCAAAAAGAATGACCTCAACTATGAAAACAGGAAGGCACTAAGAAGAGCAGAAACACAGCAGAACAGTAACAGAGCTACAGGCGCCTCAATCACCTTCACTGTACTTCTCAGCACTTTCCTCCACAAGCAGGTATTTCTTTCATTATTTATGCACATGTGGGCATGTGTGTGAACGTGTACCCATGAATACAGATTTAGACACGACGTGTTGAAGATCCTGGATGGACTCCTGCCACAGACACCCAGGGACCGACAGGTGAGGGCACAACGGCCCTGAGAGGAACGCACTTCTCTGCTGCCCGCAGACACCACCCTTGAGCTCCACTCGACTGGCAACGCCTCTCCCTCCTCTGTGGCCAGACCAGCACTGGACAGGCAAGCTGTGAGCTGGGTTTACCTGTCTCCTCACGCCTGTGGACTGTGCTGGCGCATTCTCTTCAAACTTGGCCAGCAGCTGGGTTGCCATGTACTTCACTTTGTTCTGGTTGCCAAGGGCCATGTCCATCCGCCGGTCAGTCAGCGTGCTCACCAGCATGGGCCTTCCTCCTCTGCAGCCCCGGGGTGCATCCTCCTGGAGAACACGGACCCCTGAGAGGCAGCCCATGTTAGGGGAGCCCTCCCACAACACCACCCCCAGGCCAGAGCTGGGGCCTGGCACAGGTTCTCATCTCCAGGTGGACCCAGGCACAGAGGCAGTATACGCAGTTACGCAGGCTTTTGCTGGTGTGGTCACACCCCTGGAAAGCCACAGCCCTTCACCAAACGCCTGACTCCAAAGAGACAGGAAGGCCCAGTGCACACATGTGTCCCTGGATGCTCTTCAAAAGATTGGATAGAGGCAAAAAGCCACAGAAAGCACTTGTGTGCACAATTCTCACGAAGGATGAGCTGAAATGCTTCAGCAATGCCAATTTGAAAATTAAGGGCTTAAGCCAAGAAGAGCAATTCAGTGCAATCAACCTGGCAGCTCCCAGGTACTTCTCACCTCCTCTGACTGGCTGGTCTTTCTCCTTTTCCCAGCACCGTCCACATCCTTTTCCTTCTTGTCCTGCAGGGAACAGAGGGAACTGCACTACTCCAGCCCCTGCACCTTGCCATCAGTTTTGCAGCTGGAGGAAAAACCCTTCCACTTACCTTGGGAGAGCGCTTCCGAGAAATGGTCTGCCCAAGTTTGCTTAGGAAAGAGATGGGGGATTTGGTGCTGGCGATCAGGACAGCTTTCTCCTCAGCATTCAGGTCCAAGGCGTCTGTGGACAGGAATCAGCAACGTTCGGGGACAGCCCCGGAGGACACCTCAGAGTCCTGGACAGGACCACCCTCCCTGCAGGAGGCTCACGGCAGCCCAGCACCCCCACAGAAGAAGTGCCCGCTGGGGCTTCACTTCTCCGTCCACACCAACAAACCCACCTCTTCCCCATTCCAAGTCAGTCGCAAAAACCTCCAACACTGAAGTCTGCCTGTGACTGCCAGTTATGGCAACGTGCTGAAGCCGCCCTTGTGACGAACAGTTCAGGCCCAGAGGGAAAGGTAGGGAAGGGGGAGAAGAGAAGTGCCTCAGGACCAGGTCCGGGGACGTGCGGACACCTGCACTCAACTGCACTCGAAGAGGGGTCCCTGGAATGGGTACACTGGTGTGAAGTCGTGGATTAGTTATAAGAACTGTGCATCTCATCGGAAAAAGCCACAGATGTCTACAAGTGTGTGGGCCAGCAAACACTGGAGAGCAGTACCTAAACCCTGTGGATTCCAGTGCTTCATTAGTTATTTTAAAAATAGTAACTGAAAGTCATAATACATTGCTAACATTTCTTTAAGTGGTTCTGTTTGCCAAATACTCTTAGCACAGCACCACATAATCACATGCATATCATCTGTTTTACAGATGGGGGAACTGAGGCACAGGGAAACAGTAACCTGCCCAGAGTGGAACAGGTGGAAGCACTGAGGGGTTGACCCAGGTCAGGCCCATGGCCAGCACTTGTGAGCACACGCTGCACTCACTCTGAGGGACAATGAAGGACAACAAGAGTACTTCTGTGGTGTGCTGGCAGACTGAGGTAGCAGGCTAAGGGCCAAGAGAAGGTTTCTGCTAACACTAAAAGGTAGGAGAAGCCAGAGAAGGAACAGTTACAGAAGAAATAGAATGAGGCCAGTGCCGTCCAAGGTCACAGATGTCAAGAGGAAGAGAGAATGTCAAGAGAAAGGTCTGAACAGCGCAGAAAAGATGAGGGAGGAGGGGAGGAGGGGAGAACGTGGCTGTGGGGGCTTCTTGCAACCACAGAGAACAGCCTGGCGGAGCAGCGTCGCAGAGGCTGCGCTGCAGTGAGACCAAGACGAGGCAGTTTCACAAGAGGCTGGTTCCAAGAGAAAGGGAAAGAAGGTGGTGGAGTCAAGGAAAAGATCCCGGACAGGAATGCTCACAGCCGCACACATCTGTAGGGTTCATGGCAAAGACCTGTGTCAGAGGAAAGGCGGAACAATTGCGGAGCAGGGCCCCAGGGACTCGCCCTGCCAGCTGGCCAGGGAGCAGGGAAAGTGCGCGTCTGCTCAGCGGCACAGGCGGGGCCAGGAGGAGAGACAGGGAAGCCGCAAGAAGGGTGTGGAGGGCAGCGCCCTTACCTCGGGATGGGAGTGCGTCCCTGAACATCTCGTAGAACTGGGTCAGGTACATCACCATGGACAGCTTGTCCGGCTCCCCCACCGAGGCCATCTCCTTGCCTGTCATGATGGGAGAAATGCCCAGCTCCTTCTCAGCCACATCAAAGGCCAGCTGGTTATTCTTCTCCACATTTTGCTCATCCAAAGAATCAAAGTCTCTGAGAAACAGGACGAGGACAGCACGTCAGGATGGGCCGTTCGACCTGGGGCACAGGGCCTCCCTGCACTCCAAGAGCAAACCTGTCTGCCTCACCGGTTCGTCTCCTTCCTTTACTGACAGGATGCAAATTATTTTCAAGGAGAAGGACTGAAGGTCTCCCCATGAAAGAAAAGGGGAGAAATGGGAAAACGCCCCTCGTTTTCCCAGTAAGATAAATTTCTTACTAAAATATAAGCTCAAGGTAAGGAGGTTTTTTATTAGGTGCCCTCTTGCAGCCAGTGTGTGATATGCATGTCTTAGACTTGCATTCAATCATGAGGAAAAGCCCACTTGATCAAACTGCTCCTGAAGCTGGGAACCATCACCATGTCTCTGGAGCTGACGAGCCGCTGGTGTGCTCATCAGCTCTGGTAAATCGTACTGAGCCTTCCACTCAAAGGGAAATTCCACAACTTTCCTCTAAAGATTTTTCCGTTGCTAAATTTCCTGAATTTTCCCAAGAATTCAGACTAACAAACATTTCCCACTGGGCTTCAAGCTTCTTGCTATTCAGTCAAGTAAAGATTGGCCGTGTTCTTCCTGAGCTGGATAATTCAGGTGTCAGGTAACCAGGCAGGCCCTATTCCAAGTTCACTTACTGACTCTGTAACAGTTTTCTAGGTTTTAAAACTGCTTTACTCTGTATATTAATCCTAGTAAACCATAGCGGCCTCATCCTGAATGGAGTCACTGCAGCCAGAACGGTGCCAAGTTGGCCGCTCACAGCTCCGAGGCGGGGCCTGTCCGGCAGTCTTGGGTCCATTCCAGCAGGAAAGTGCCCTCATCCCACTGCAGGCTCCATTCAGTGCCCTGTGCCATCCCCCTTCTGTCCTGCCTTCCCTCCTGAGCAGAAGGGCCTCACTGGCATCTCCTAACCCCTTTGTGGGGTGACTGAGCCCTACTCTTTACTCACCTCTGACTGAGCTAAGGGACAGGGCACGAGAGGTCACTTACCTTCATTCAAGGCACTCAGAGTCCCCATTCCTAAGCACAAGGCTGTTTTTACTAGCTTTTACCTCATTAACTTAACACCTAATGTAAATGGGAACTGTGTCTTTTAGGGTTCTTCAAGCAATCACTAAAACAAAACGAACACAAAAATTGGGCCCGTAAGCAGACCTAAAGCCAAAACAGTCGCACACACTCTGCTGCTGCTTCTGAATCTTCCAAGGTAGCAGACGCCTATGGGAAAGTCTGAGTGCACTGGTCACCACGGTGGCCCAGGGCTGTCCTGCCCTAAGTACGGAATGGCCAAAGGAGAAAATGGTACTGGAGGGGGAAAAGGCAATCTGAGTTTCATGGGCCCAACAGAGTACGCCTGCAGAAAGTGCAGTCCTCAACAAGGGACAAGACCAAGAGACCATAGGAAAGCGAGTAAGTGTGCACCGCTAGCTGCTCTGACACACGTGCCTGCAGCCACACGCTGGGCCAGGCTCTCCTCACGACCAGCAGCGCAGGACAAAGCAGCTGGATGAAGAGCTCAACCTGAGGCCGATGGGCAGTCTTCCTCCGTGTGAAGGTAACAGGTTTGGCCAGGTGTCACAATCAGGTTTTGACTTTCTGAGCGCTGTGTTTTAAAACACTCAGCTAGCCATTCCTGGGTTGAGCTACATAAGGCCTGAAAGACACCGTTTTAAGTATAACTAAACCAAAAGGAATCACTGATGTTTAAAGAAAATACCTCATCATGTATCTCAAACTAGAAAAAGCACAAAACGTGGCTGTTTGACAGCAGGGTATGCAGAGACCCGTAGGGAACGTCAACGAAGCAGAGTCCGGACTCACATCAGGTCGGGGCGGTATCTGTGGATAATGGCACACAGGGCCAGGCCGCTCTTCCACGATGTGGTGAGGTCCGTCACGTCCACCCCAGCATAGCCGTCCGTCTGCCTCTGGCACCAGCTCAGCAATTTGCTTGAGCGGGCCACAGACTCTAAACAACAACAACATGATTACTGGAAGTGTGGTCATCTGGTAGATCCAATATAGAATACACTCTGTGGACACATACCCAGTTTGAAAAATTACTGAAGGCAGAGACTAAACAGTAGTCACTGGTTTTTTTAAAAGTAAGAAGCTATGTAACTGGTACGATAGTGGAATTTAAGGTAGGCAAGAAACTACCAATTTATCCAGACTCTGAGGTCAATGCTCCCACCCCCACGGGAATGACAGTTCACAAGCTGGTGACCTGGACGCTCTCAGGCTGAAGCCCATGGTCCCTGTGGCTCTCCTGGACACTGACTTGGAGAGAAGGGTGTCACCTAGTGAGCTGTCACCCTCACGTGTGGCAGCTCCAAGATCTCTCTGGAATGTTGCCTGGCAGCTGGCGGAGCAAAGGTCTTCCTTTCAGAGTAACACTGGGAGGACACAGGAGAAAGGGTCCCCTCTAGCTAGCAGCACGTTACTCTTGACCTACACCTTCCAAGGCACCGAGCTGTCTGAAAGGCAAAGAAGCTCTAGGATCAGGATGGCAAGGCCAAGAACCCAAACCAGAAGGATCCTCCCGGCCAGCTGGACAGTCAGTGTCTGGATAGAACACTTAGTGTCCCTGAACTTGGATTTCCGTGTCACTTTCTGAGACACGCATCCATGTTCATGTCCATGTGTGACTAAATCAACATGTCTTGAAAACCTCAACGCATACACACACAAACCTGAACGTCTTCCAGTCACTCATGCCTTGCAAACCATGAAGTGCCTGTGTAAAAATCTGCTTTTCTTAACTGCATCCAAGAGCTCTGATACAGGGCATTCAGAGGAATCTGTGAACACCTCTTTGTGTCCAAGAAAGTCTGTTCCTTACTTTAGGCAGCTGAAAATATTTAACCTTGTACTAAGTCTTCAGTAATTTGTGAACATAACAAGATAAAAAACACGTATCATAAAAATCGCATTTCATTTAATCAGTCTTTCAGGGAAAATGTGTTCTGAAATGACACAGAACCACTGCTGGTATCATCACCATCAACCTCTTGGCTTCAGAAAGTAACTTCACTTGGATGTTTCCCAAGTCTGTGTATCCATGGATCCAGTATGTGCTGGACGACTTCAATACTCCAGGCTCCAGAATAACAGTGAACAAAGACACACTCTTGGCTCTCAAGGAGACGACACCCCAGTGGAGGAAGATGAAGATGTTTCCAGCTGCCTGCTGGTGGTCACACTCGCCTTGACACCCCAACAGTATATCAAATTCAAAATGCCCCAAACAGAACTCAAACCTTCTCAACCCCACGTCCTTGTTCAGACTGCCAACGCCTGTCGACTCCGCCTCCTTAATACACTTGCTCTCAGAAGTAAAACTGGCAGTGACCCCCCTGCTAGATGCCAGGCACTGAAATAAACACCCCAATAGGTCAGAGTCCTCAGGACCACAGAGTGAGGGAAGCACCGTGACCCTATTTCACAGACATGGAAACCCAAGTGCGGAGAGGAGAAGCATCCTGCCGAGCCACCTGCCTCGCAGCCAGTGCGGCTGGGACTGGCCACGTCTTCTCCCTGCTCCCCTCCAGTGTCAGCACCAGACTGGTCAGCCTGGCCTCAACAACGTGCCTCCAACTCGTCTCCTGCCCCCAGGTTCCCTCTCCTACCCCACCTGACATACAGCTGACCAGGTCACTCTCATTATAGAACACAAGGTGCAGCATGGCCTCCACCATCACTGGGTCCTGTGATGTCGTGGTCCCTGGGCTTCTTCCCACAAAACTTCGGGTGGCGTGTGTGTGCTCATCAGCACCCTCTCTCTGCACCTTTCAACAGCACCTGTAACTGATTTCTCTTTGTACTCTCGTGACACCTTAGACCAGGTTTCCCAGCCTCAACACTACTGGTATTTTTGGAGGAAAATTCTTCATTGTGGGGCTGACCTGTGCACGACAGGGAGCAGAGCAGTAGCACCTGCTCCAGTCCTGACAACCAAAATGCCTCCAGACACCACCCACCCAACGTCCCCCGGGGGCACAGTCACCCCTGGTGGGGAACCACTGCCGTGTGTATGCTCCCAGCTCAGTGAATCAGACAGATGCTCTGGACGGTTACCTGCATCTGAAAAGGTCATTACCAGGACTCACCATTGCGAGCCACCTTGGGCGTAGTTCGGGAATTCACCAGATTCTCCATTTCCAGGTGAATGTCTTTCGTTTCTCCAGTGTCATATAAGTGACGCACCTGGCAGAAAGTTCATGAGTCACGAGTCATAAAGGAGGAAAATCAAACACCAAGTAACAAATTCCCACCTGAGAGCAGAATGGCCGAGATGAAAAGCTGGGACAGCGAGTGGGCAACGTTTAGACAGAAGTCGTAATGGTGACCTTTAAATCTGTCCTGGAAGGTGGTGGCTTACACAAAAATAAATGCACAGTAACTGTAAGATCTTGTGTTAAGAACGAGATACTCAGCCACGGAGGCCCCTATGAAGTCCCTGTGGGACCACTGCTGCCCCCATCAACAGCGGGTTTCCTAGACGCTTTAACGAATGACCACCCACAAGCACGGAAGGCGCAGGCACCAACTTCAGGTAGAAAGTGAACAGAGGCAAAAAGGTTGAATGGGCTGCTTTCTAAAAATTGTTGGGTTCTTTGGGATTACTGTGCTTTGCAAACTGTTATTCTCAATGCAGTAACAAGGTTTTAGACATCCTGAGAAAGTACTCAGTAGCACAAAAAAATCAGCCAACGGTATCTTCTACTTGGAGAGACTGTCCTATCTTCCAAAGTTTTTTCCAGTGAACAGCACTGTTTGCCCTCAAAATGATCCTGTGAGTAGCAGGGATTAGTATCTCCATTTCACAGACGAAAAAACAGATGTTCAGTCCAAGTGCAGTGACCTCCCACAGCAGTGACTGGAGACAGCAGTGCAGGTAGGTGTACAGTGCGTGTCCCGACGGGTGACAAGTGCACTTTCTGCCAAGCTGCAGCATCGGGAGACAGGTACCAGGCCCTGCAGCCAACGTTTCTGCCACATCTGATCTTCTGCCAACTCAATGACCCTCTGCCTGAGCTGCAGTGTCTGCTGACGGAAAAATCCCTACTCCAGCCAACTCAGGAAGACACCTACTTCGACTGTGAAGGGCTGCTGTGTGCTGGTATTAACAGACATTTTTCAGCACGTCAGGGTCGGTCAGTCCCGACCACAGGCTCGGACACAGATGACCAACCTGAAGGCTCTTACCTGGCTTGGCCGGAGGAAGTTGACGTTAACGTTGGGGTATCTGGTGACAGGGTCTATGCTGTACTGGCTGAAGTTCTTACTCACATTCTCAGGGGTGGTCTGAGGCAGCAACCTATAAATGCTTTCCCTGCAACAACATACAACCCTACACTCAGAGCAGTGACAGCACCATAAACACTCCCTCTCCTGTGATGGTATTTCTATGTTTGACTGTCCCCCAAATATCTGAAGGACAGGACAGACCCTCCTCCTGCAGCTCTCTGTCAGCCCTGGCTTCCCAGTCCCACCTCCTCAGCGATCCCACAGGCACCAGACAAGAAGGGCACGGACTCTGGTCGGGCAGGGTTGTCAAAGCCTGACTCTAACACAACTAATTTACTGTTTTGTTTTTTCAAGTGTGCCAATATTAAATTTTTTAATAAAAAAAATCACTGATGGAAAAAGAACCTGCCATCAAATTTACCCTGAGTAACTTAAGTAACAGACTTAAACATCAGTCACTAATTTCATCTAGGACATGCTGGTTCTCTAGTTCTTCTGGTCAAGGTATTTGTTCTTCGTCAGCAAGCAAATCCTGGGTCTTACCTCATTTGCAATTATCTGCTTCAAAATATCTCTCTTGGGAGTTTGAGAACTTTACAAGCAGTCTGGTGTTCTCCTTTGAATTCAAAGTCAGGTTTAATTTCTTCTCTTATGTTAGTACACCTCCTGCTACCACACCAATTTTATTAGTGTTAAGTCTTTCTAGTTTAAGGACAAGAGGATTTAATGCAAAAATTTTAAGTTATTTGCTCATGTAACCATCACAAAGGAATCAGACAGCATCCTTCAGTGGTATACAAAGATTCAGATAACGCTCGTCAGTAACACATCTGATGTGGAAAGGGCTGAGAGAACATCACTTGGATTAGATCATCTTTTAGTTTCTATGATTTTATGAATAAATATCTTGCCTCTCCTCTCTCAAATATGAAAACTCTTTAATGAAGAAAGGAAGGGAGAGAAGAAAGAGGGAACTTGAACTCTGCCTGAAGAGCAAACACTCACACCCCCCTTTCATCTGGGACGGACTTCTCCCATTACCTCTCTGCCAGGACTTCCAAGGGGCTCCTTCCTAGAGACCAACTTCGCACCATCCAGGCCGAGTCCATAGCAGCTAGGAAGCCCCGGGCTATTCCTGTTCCCATCGGCCAAAAAGGCTACGAAAGAGCAAACAAAGAATTAACATAAACTGCCTTTTAAAAGAGGGAAATAAACTAAGGAGCAAAGAGTTTGCTGTTGAGAGTAGGTTTTGGCTACTGTGCAGATACCTGGCCTTCTACTTCACTCACTGGCAGGGGGGCAAGTCACAAAAGTTGCAGGATTTCCACCTGCACTGAGCAAGTCGGGCTGCCGGGGCCTGGAACACTCCCCCGCCGCCGGGTACGCCTGCACTACACAAGATGCAGGTGCTCCCTCCACAGTCCCGGATCCCAGATTCTTTCCTAATCAACATGCCTCCTTACTACTTCCTCTCAAATAAATCACTGCCATCCTTAACTCTCAATACGCACCTCTAGTAGGCTGTCCCCAACTAGAGCCACTAACAACGGGTGTCCATTGTGCTCCCGCACCAGAGCTGCGTTCTCAGAGGCGTACATGCACGTGAAGTCGAACATGGCCACGTCGGGCTGTCCATAGTGATTGATGGCAAAGTCCAGGGACGGCAGCTGCTGCTGGGTGGAGAAGTCCGCGGCCTCCCTGGCATAGTTCAGCAGAGCCTCTTGGTCCACGTTCTCCCGGGAGAGCAAGAGCTCAGTGTCGGCGTAGTCCTGTCTCCAGAGAGAGAAGCAGCTGGATGGAAAAGCCCAGGTGGGACGTACCAGCCTACCAGCCCTGGCCACACTGCACATCAGACACCCTCTAGTCCCAAAGCCTTCCCTCCCCCCTAAAGTGACTCCACATTTCAAAAGAAGTCTTTCATGCAAATTAAAAAGAAAAGGGGGAGGCTGTTTCTAAAGGAACACAGGTTTCAAGGCCTAAAAACAGTCCCAGCTTTTCCCTTTACTTGGAGCAAGTCACTGCTTATTCAGTCCAATCCAATCCACCTCACGGCGTTGTTCTGAATACCAAATAAAATGATTTATGTGATGGTGCTTTGTAAACTGAAAAGCATTTCATAGCTGATGTTGCTATTGGCAACTGTCATCTTCTGGGCAGCAACTGGACCCCCACAAGACACTCAGCCTTGCACAACTCATCAAACCCAAAGGAAGAACCCAAAAGCTTCAGTGCTACAGAGATGTGTAGGTGGGAGCAGCAGCAGCCCAGGGGCGAGGAAGACACACACTGAAAATGGACAGAGGTTTTCAAAAGACACACGAGGTTCTGGAAGACACCGCAGTAACCCACCAACAAAGGAAAACCATGCGAGAAAGAGGAAGGGGAAGGGCTTCCGTGGGGGGGGCACTGAGAAGCCCTTTTCTGTTCTGGAGGTTCCTGGCACACTGAGCCAGGTCCTTCTTCTCTTCAAGTGGGGCCTAAGCCCTCCAAGTGTCCCTGATGGTACTTCAGTGGCCACTACAAGATGTAAAAGCCAAACACAAACACTCAGGTTGGTCCTGGAAACTGTTTGTTCAACACTGAGTAGGTGGCCACCATGGGTTCAGGATTTAGCAGCACACACAGAACGCATGGCTCCCTGCCCTCTAAATAAAATAAATAAAAAGGAGAAGTGAATCAGGTCTCGGCATTCCAGATCGTTCCCACATAGTGACAGCTGATAACCACAATCCTGGCTGAGACAGCAGATTTAAGACTGACTTGGTCCTGAGGCACATGCACTAGCTACTTCTCACTGATAAAGCGTCCAGCTAAGTACATGCTGACCGTGCTTCAGGCAGAATGGCCCGTCTTCCTCACGTGCACCAAGGAGCACGAGGCCGAGAGACAGCTTCGAGGCTCAAGAGCGAGAGGACGCTGCGCCCCCAGCACTGCTCTCAGACAGGGCAACAGTGTAATTCAGGACGCCCTGAAACTCAGCTGTGTGTCTCCGGTGGAACTGCACAGGCCTGAATCAGCATATCCAAGGCCTCTTCCATCCACTCATCACAGACGACAGTAATTTGCAAATCCAGACCAACAAGACCAAATAAGACTCAAGAAACTCTCCCTGAGGAACCATCCACCTGTGGTTCTGACCTCACATTCAGATCATCATCTCAAGGAATGTCATACAGTCAGTCTTCTCCAAAAGAGGCTTAGTTGGACCTGACCATGGGTGAACCAGGGCCCCGTTAGGCCAGAAGGAGGTCTGAATCCAGCCCTATCCAGGCAGTGGTCCCTGGACCTCAGTAACCATATCTGCAGGAAAATCAGACCATTCTCAGGCTCCGAGAAACACCAATTACTGCTTCTCAGTCAAACTCCCTTCTTTCACCCCTTTCTAAAAGATAACCTATTAACCAACCAATAATCGGTCATGTATGGAATTTACCATAACCACAAACCAAATCACCCCAAATTAAACTGAATATTTACACACAAAATGATTTCTGAGATTTGCTTTGGGACAACCCAACAGTGGGAGTAGGGAATGGGGAGTGGGCGGGGTACCACTGAAACAATATTGGCCTCACGTGTTGGTAACTGCTAACTGTTAAAGCTGGATAAAAGGCACATGGGGGTTCATTATATGATTTTCTCGATTTTTGTTCACACTTGAAAATTCACATAATGAAAGATTTTTTTTTTTAAGTTAAACTAAAAATGTCTGAGGAATACGGAGTACATGGTCCCTGGAGATGAGCAGGACACTCATTTTCATTCCCTCGCAGGAAAAACGCATCAGGCAATAAAATTCTGTCTTTTGGTAATCACGTGACCCAGCACAACATAAAAGGAGGTTTAAAAGAAATCCATGACTCACATGCAGTATCACTCCTTTGTCCAGTAAACTCTGCTTTTTGGCTGTCATAACAAAATAGTGCGTGTCATCTTTATAGTAGACGATGTTTTCCAAATCAATCCCTGCAACAGAACAGACGTGCACATAAGGGTTTGCTGAGAAGAGGGTCAGTTAGGGCAGCCAGAAAGCCTGTCCTGGTCCACAGACAGCAGAGCTGTGGGCCCCCAGGGAGGGAAGGAGGAAACAGAAAAGTGTGTGAGCCCGAGCGCACTGCCAGCACGCTCGTTCACGATCAGAGGCGGACTCTGGTTACCCTTGCACTGCTCTGTGCTCACCTGACACCTGTGATCCTAATGATGACAAGCAATTGTGAGCAGAAACAGGAGGGTAGGGAGAAGGGGAGGTCACCCTCCAGCTCTTGGGGGAACCTCCCTGAGAGCCATTAAGGTGACTACAGAGCCCTCAAGACTCCTACGAGCAGGACAGACAGATGCCCGGCAGCAGAGGGGCCACTACGTACTTTTTAATTCAATTAATCTAAAAAATAGATGTAAGGGGAAGAAGTCAGGTTCTAAAGAACAGAGAACTGAAATTTGCCACACATTTTTGTTGCGGCAAAATATCTAAGTTAATCTATTCACAAGCTGTCTTATAACAATCTCACCCCTTTGAGACTGTCCACTTCAAAATCAAACAAACTCAGGAAAAAGACACTCAACAGCTAAAGTCAGGTTCTCAATAATCCAGAGCTCCCAACCAAGAGCTCACGGCGTCAAGCAGCACCACATGGAGCCACGTGCGGAGAAGGGCTGAAGGAGGGCAGGCGGGAGGCAAGAGGGCTGCCCAGTCACTGAAACAAGGACAGAAGGCCCTGGGGCAGGACACAGCGATGTGGGAGCACTGTGCCCAGACCAAGTCCCGGAGTGAAGAGAGAGCACAGGGGCAAAGCCCATGGTGATGCACTGTTTTGTTATCACCCAATGACCACCCCCACCAAACCCACAGAGAAACAGATCTCAGGCAATTATTAAATGTCTATCCTTACTGTTTTGGAGGCATCTACACCAACCTGTGGCTTCCCTCAGTTCCTGGAAAAATTTTTGATTGAATATAAAAGCCACACCACTGATCTCTTCCACTTTGGCTTCTGCTGTTGTATTTCGGTTAATAAAATTTGCTGTAATGGCAATGGCCAGTTTGCCACGAAATTCTTTCCGACGAAATCCTACAGGGAAAGAAATTTTCAGAGGCGGCAAGAGCTGGCTAGGAAAGAAGGAAGATGGTGTAGAACAGGAGGGTATTGATGAAGACATCAGGGAATGCGGGGATGGGAACCAATGGGAAAATCTTACAACAGCTCTCCTCTACCTGAAAATTAGGTGTCTACCTCCCAAAGAATGTAACAACCAGAACAGACGCCCAAGCCCCCCAAACTAACACATGCTTGGAAATCTGACGATCAGAACACTACTCAGTAGCAGGGATTCTGCTTCACAAGAGGGACGCCACCTGCTCATTAAATGTGGGTTTAATCCTGCAGTGCCGACAGCTCAAGAGCAGCCTGGTGTCCTGGACCAAGAGGCTGGGCGAAGCCGGGCCCACAGTTCAAGCAGAGCAGGCAGCACACACAGGAGGATTCCCAGGCATGTGGACTCTCACCCAGGGTTGGGACTGGTAACTCCTCCTCCGCTATGAAGCAGGCAAAGGGGAGAGGGGCACAGCCCAGTACCTTCCAAGGTGTTCCTGCGGCCATCCCCGCCGATGATCACTTCAAACTCATATTCTGACACTGGATGGGTTTTGGGGTGCACCAGTGCCCGCCAACCTATCCCTGTGGATTAAAGTCAAGATGAAGGTCATCACCCAAACCACGTTCATATATCTAAGATATCTCTAGACACCGAGGTGCACAAATTAAACAAAACCCCAGGCGCAAAAGCACGGGCTACACACCAAAGGAAGAACCGCCTTGAGGAAGACTCACAAAGGAGCGTTCCTGGCCATGTGGCTTCTATAGTGAATCCAAGTACCTGTAATGCCTAACACCATGTCAGAGGCCTCCTCATTAAGCAAAAGTTCCTCAAAAGACATAGGCCGTACCAGAGGAGAAGCCCCTTAACCTGGCACTGAAAACCACCTGCAGCTCCCTACGGTCTTCCCCTCCATCTCATCTGTTCTCACCCACTCAGGGCCCTGTATCCCTCTTTCATTTGTCCAACCCAACTCACGTTCATTTTCTTGGTCCTCTGGAGGCTGTACGAGTCCTTGGAACTCCACGTTGACATGGATTTCAATGCCTAGGATCAAGGCTACCTTCAAAAGTATTAGCTGAAGCTGGCGTATACCTGGGTGAACAAGATTACACAAGTGAGGGCACATGGACAAGAAAGGACTGGTCAGCAACACTGCTTGGGGCCACCTGCCTGCCTCGCAGAGTTTATCCAGCTGTTCAGCACCTCTGGCAACAGGTACCTTTTTTGAGCCATGCTCCATAGCTTCTTTCCTTCTTCTTCGGGGGCAAAAACAATTCAGTGCAAAAGACGTTCTAGAGAGACACACCAGACCACATCCACCTCTTGGGTTAGGTGCTCAAAACAAAGGTTCTGAGATAACGCAAGCCTGTGGGCCACAGGCGACCCTCCTTTCCGTCTTCCCTGGCCCAGTCAGAGCCATGATTACGTAGCAGAAGCCACAGGAGGCAGAAGAGGTGCAGCAGTTTGATACACAGGCTGCATGACTTGCTGAGTTTCCCGCAGCACCTCCCTGTCATCCTGCTCCCTCCCAGACCTGCACATGCTCTCACATGCTGGGAGGGAACCATCAGTCCAACCTTAGTCTCTCGCCACTCCGCCTCCCACCACTGTCCATAGCTGCAGAAACTAAGGCTCAAAATGACTGAAAATCTTGCTCATTATCTAGTTAGATTTATTTATTTGTTCAACATCCAGTGAGTAGCTACCAGGTGCCAGTCATGGCAACAGCCCAGGTCCACTGTGATAAAAGACTTGTCCCTCATGTGGGACCCTCTCAGCTACAGACAAACCCTGCCACAAGTAAGGCAGACAAAGCCACTGAATTAATGGCCCTTGGTCCTCTCTTAAGCCCAATCCTACCTGGCGTGTGACTAATCTGCTAGTGCACATTCTATACCCACAGACGACTGCATTACAAGATGCTTCACACATCACAGTCCATTGGATGGACCAGTGCAACAAACTGTGTTCAATGAACCGGGCACAACCGCCTCAAACAGCGGAAGGTCCAGTAGGTGAATGTATTTACAGGACACATCTGTGCTCAGAACACAAGATCCTTGGTCAGCCTTACCTGGAGTCCTGAACGATGATCAATAAACCAGACTTCACCTTCACAATGGAGACACCGAGTGTTCTGAACCACTTTTTGGATAGCCACTCAACAGGTATGAAGCATCAACTTCTATTTACTCTCCAGGCCCAAGCTGAGCATGCAGGTGACAGGAGTGCAGCGACAGCTACCCAGGCTGCAGACCTCGCGAGCATCACCTGAGCAAAGGGAGCCTGACAGCGACTCGCCAGGCACAAGCAGACTAGAAGTCTGCGGCTTCTGCCCCAGGGCTGTCCCCAGAGCATTTTGTTCTTACAGTAGGAGAGCAGCACTTTGCAGAGAGCTGCACACCTGTGCTTCTTCCACTGGACTAAGAGCCACCAGAGGGTTAAAGCCTGAACTGGTAGACTGTTTCCTAGCCTGGCCCCAGTGCCTATCCAACCACTGCAAGTGCTCGGTAAGAATTCAAGAACTGACTTAGAATTCCTTAAGCTAAACTCATTTTGTAGGAGACACACTGGAAGTTAAGAATCCTAGGTTATAGAACCACTGCAAGCGGGCATTCTGACTCCAAGCAGAGTGTGTTTTCTGAGCAATAGATGCTGACGATATCAGAACACACTGGGCTTTTGAGCATGAATCCCTCAGACAATCTGTCTGTCTCTCTACTGACAAGGTGGGAGAGGGTAGAGGGGATCCTCTAGGAGAACTGCTTTTACTTACTGATGTGGTCGATGGCTCCAGCACAGAACTTGCCATAGAACTTCTTGGCCCCTAGACCTCGAAGGTCATGTATGGTGAATGGCCAGAGATGCAAGACGTTGTTGCGGGAGAAGGCATCTCGTTTCTCAATAACGACTACCTTCGCGCCCAGTAAGGACAGATCAATGGCCGTGCGGAGACCACAGGGGCCGGCTCCAATGATGAGACACTGAAAAACACAGCTGCTGTCAGGGCAAAGGCAGTACCTCCTGAGCTCACAGCTACCATCCCCAAAAGCCCCCCACTACCAGGAAACCTTCCCACTCGTCTGGGTCACAGCCGAGCACCTGTAATCTGCTTAAGAGAAAAGCTGGTGAGTGCTCTGCATGGAGAAGACTGAGTGCGGGACACGAACTCATCTTGCTCACCCTGCAGGTCTGCAACACGTTTAAATGGGTCATCATTTCAACAGACGGTATGAAAACCACACCTCACCTTTCATCAACAGAAGAAAACCTTTTGGGAGGTTTTTGGAAGGAAGTGAAGCAGACTTCTGACACAGAGACACAGATCATTAAATACACAGCCAGGCAGGCTCAGCATCCTGGAAGGGACTTAGCACTTAACTGATTCCAGGAGGCGATTTTCAAGAGCCAAAGTTTTATGTGCTCAACGAGTTCCAAAATCACCATCCTTAGACTGAAAGTCCAGGGAAACGACCTTGAAGATCCACATCCCAGAGAGGTGCTCACGAAGAGACTGGATACTTCTATCCTGACTAGTTCGCATGCATGTGCAAAAAGAAAGACATGCACTGTTTTCAGCTTTGAATTCCTTTTATTCTTAATAAAACTACAGAACTCACTCATAAAAGTCATGTCTTTAATTACTTGAATTCTGTGGATGAATATTACCCAAATGCAAACCCATGATGGTGGGGCAGGTGCAGGGCTGGGGAGGTCTCTAGGTACCCACACAGGGCAAACTGAGGCTCCTGAAAGGACATTAACAATACAGCCACGAAGTCATCTGCAACCTCATTCCCCAAACTTCTCACAGGAAGTGCTCTCACACAGGAGGACAGGAGGACGCCTCCCCTGCATGGGCAACTCTTCGTCTCAGGTGTCTGCCCAGGCCTACCTGCTTCATGGAAACTCTATTTCTCTAGATTGTGAAGAAAGCAAAAGAAATACTTTGGTTTACAAAGCCCTTGCTTATCAAAATAGACCTCTGGAATATGAAGAGGCCTGATGCCTACAGCAAACCCCCAAGGCGGCAAACTCTCTACACCTTGCCAGACGCCGGGTGTGGACAGGGGCTTTGTGAGGATGGTTTGGCAAGCACCACGCAGCCACGTTCAGACAGGATGCTGACAGGCCTGACTGCCTCTTGGCTCAGTAACCTGCATCCTCCCAACAGTGTAAGATTCAAAACAGGGCCTTGGCAAAATAAAACAGTTGCCGTACCACCCAACTCCAGGCTTGCTCTCCAGCAGTCGAAATCCTGAGTGTTCTGCGTGAGCCCACGGAATGAGAACAGGGCCTGGCACACGGAGCAGCCTGATGGACAAAGGTTCACCGCGGAGCAAGCTTGACTTTCCACCCAGGCTGTGGCCTGGCTGCCTGGTTCTCACCCAGCTACCTGCACCCAATCCTAGCCTCCCCTCTCCAGTCAAGTCCTCAGGTGAGTGACCAGGCTGGAGCAGCCGACCCTACCTTGGTGTTCGTACACGCCTTCCCCTTCTTGTAGTCCTTGTGGCTGCCCCGCTTGTCCAACTTTGCCCAGAGGGCCTTGGCTCTCCAGTAGTTCAGCTTGGACTTGAGCTTGTGGTAAAAGGAGCGGTGGTCCTTAGGCTTCAGTTCCAGGTGGTCACAGAGCTCCTGGAAGGCCCGGAGGGTCCCCTTGCAGGTGGTGGCCTGTACGAACCGGTCAAAGAGGACGTGAGCGCGGTTTGTTGTCTGGGTCTTCGTCTCCTCCATGCTCCCCAAGCGCACACCGGCAAAGAAGCCAGCAGGCAGCCGCTGGTCCAGCTGACGCGGTTACGGTAACCTAGTAAAGAAGGAAAAAGGGGTGGTTGGCAAATCCAAATCTGTACTTACACATCTTCTAGGTGACACAAGTAACTCCCTCTGAGAGAGGAGTTCCCAAGTGGAATCAAGCACGTGCCTCCTGTGCTCCAGGTGCCACCTGAGACACTAGGGGTGGACAGATGCCTGGACCACACTGCTTACGGGGTCTTACAGTTCAGTGGGTGAGACAGACTCATGAGCAGAAAGTTAAACACGCTCTGCTAGGTACAGGAGAGAGGCACAGGGATTCGGGAACACAAGGGAAGAGCACCTGAGGAGGGGTCGTCACTGAAGATGAACCTCTGTAGGATGACAGAGGAGTCCATCGGGAATGCGTAAGTGTCAGCCAGGCAGGGAAAAAATGTAGGACGTGGGAGAGGAAGCAGAACAGGAAGGCTTGCAAAGGACTCTTACAGACGAGGAGGCAAGAATGATGCCCAATGGGGAAACACTGATAGCAGGCCAATGGATTACAAGCAGAAGCAAACATTTGTGAGGGTGGGGTGGCGAGCTCCTCTCTGAACCTGTCACGTTGGAGGTTCAAGGCGCTCACTAGGCAGTCAGACGTGTCTGAGGCTCAGGGGATCACAACACACAGTGACCTATGAAAGCTGCTAAGATCACCCAAGGCAAGTCCACGGGAGGAAAAGGGCCTTGCGCTCTGGGTGAGGTCTGGACTCACCGATGGAAGGGACTGGCTGCCAAAGACGAGCTCTCTGAAAAGATAATGAGGCACAGTGGAGAGGCACAGGGCGGTGTCAGAGGCCGAGACAGCCTCAAGGTCAGCAGGACTGTCCTGCCTCGTGGCAGCAGGTGGCAGGCGGCAAGATTTTACATCCCTTCCATTTTCACAGCAGTAACGATGCTGCCCACTCACCAAAAAGCTCTGAGACAGAAGGCGGAAGGCAGTCTGCTTCCCAGCCTGGCCCCAATGCCTATCCAATCACTGCACGCATTGCTTTCCACCCTTCAGTTCCCCCTAAATCAAAGCTTGTTCCAGGTAGCAGTAAGCAGCAAGAGAAACAGTTTAAAGTTCCTAAAAAGAGCTCATTCTTTTCCTCACAAGCCAATACTTATCTCACAATGGCAGACAGTCAAAAGACAGCTCATAAGCAGCACGAAAGACCAGATGTGTTTATCCAGAGACAGACAAAAGGGGGACATGTAACCCAAGGACAAGAAACAAAGGTCCCAGCGTGTGTGCCCCGTCGGGGGCCCTCTGGCCTCCTCTGCAGGGATTCCAACTGCTTTACTCGCTCTGCCCTTCGGCCAGCATGGTGTTTGTGATCTGGACCCCACAGACCCTGCTGTGTTCATCGACGACTTTAACTCAACCCCCCGAGTTACAGCATTTGGAAGCTATGAATGCACCTGCCCTGGTCTCTCTGCCTCTTGTCAAGAATGAAACTGATTCTTCTTTGTTCCTAAGCAGCAGCAGCCACCTTCCACCCCCCTGCCCAGGACTCAGAGCACCATGTTCCCACTGAAACCCACAAGCATTTCTGAAGGCCTTTCCCCTGCCATACACCATGCTCACCCTTCCCCAAGAGTCTCGGCATTTACTTTCAATGAAGAGTTCTGATGTGCAGGCTAACATTCCCTTGGATGGCCATAGCCCACTCTGCTTGAAATGAATATTTACTTCCAAAGAGCTGAGCATTTCCAAATCAAACCCCACCACAGACCTTCGTTAATAACTGGCCCCAGTCCCTCTGCTGATGTAAAACACTTTCAAATTAACAGGTTTCAGCCACTCCCAGACAGCAGCAGAGTGTCTGCTTCCAAGCGCAGGCAAGTATTAAGTGCCCAGTCTAAGGGATTTTGACCTGCAGATCACTAATGACAACAGATAAGCAGAGGCAGGCTGGTTCCTGGACCGATGCACCTGAGGAAAGACTACACCAGGTCAAGTCCCCTGGGCTGCCTCTGCAGGCCAAGTGCCCGCAGCAGGGTGTGCTCTGCAGCTCTGCTGGTTAGCACTGCCTCCTGTAGCCAGGGCTCCACTCTGAGAGCAGCCAGGGAGAACTGCAGAAGGGCCACTGCTGCTGGGGCTCTCATTCCTGCAGGTCAAAGCCAGGTCGTGCTCCTCCTGGCCGCCCCCCGGAACACCCCCATGTGCTGTACGTCCTAGTAGCCTGGGAAAAATCTACACTCATAATCACAGAAAGCTGCAGGCCAGGATATCCTAGGGGCTGAAAAGGTATTGAAGGAGGGGCCAAGGGGAGTGAGGGGCCTGGGAGGGAAGAGGGGGAGGTGCTGCTGGGCCTCCGGGCTTTGGTGCCATTTCTGCCAGCTGACGACAGCCAAGGAGCCATCCAACAGCAGCTGACTGCTGACTCAGAAGCACACTCCTTGGCTGTGGAGGAAAGTGCTGGAGAGACAGCCCATGCAGTGCATGGAAGAACACAGTTTACGTTTCTATTTATAATAGTAAAAGGTTGTCACTGACTCATGGCTGGTCTGAGAACACTCAATCTCCAGCTCTTAGAATAGACAGGTGGGTGGGAGAGATTTCTCCTTAAAAATAGAAAACGGAAGGAGAATCAAAACAACAAAATAAGAATTATACTTCAAGGTTAAGAAATCAGAGTCAAGCGTGGTTAATTTTCT